TTTGCCTTCCTGGGCCTCAGCAAGGGGAATCCCGGCACAGCTGATCTTATCTACGGCTGATTATTGGGAGGGAAAAAAAGGAAAGAAATACCTTAGACGAATGTCAGGCAGGTGGGCAGGGTGAGCGAGTGTTGGGAGGGTGGGGGCGTGACCAGCCAGAACTTACTACCGGTTCGGCAACCCACACCAAATTCTTGCTACCGGATCACGCGATCCGTTGCGAACCGACTGAATACCACCACTGGTATGTATGTGTGGGTGTAACCGAAGACAATCTTCATTCATCTGCTGCTTGTAACCTGAATGAATTAGCAACTGAAATTAGCCTTTTAATGTGGTATGGAATATTTTACATGACAAAGTAGTAGAACTGTGTGGACATGCTGGATTAACTAGCACTGATGCTAGTATCATTAAATATCAGATTTAATACTTACATTATTATACATAATTATACATTACATAATTATATTTTGACTTCATATTTAAGTTGATTAGTTAAACTTAGCTATAAACACAGCAATTCAGCTCAATGATAGGTCTACTCTTCATCTTCCTAGTGTTCTTCAGGCAATTAGAAAGACAATCTGTGATTGGGAGGGAGGACGTGAGCCTCCAAATGATCCCTGTCTGAGAGGGGAGAAAGACCCCAAAGGTGGTTTTGATATCAAAGTCCCACGACGAGCTGTTGGACCTTCCAGTACACAGGTATCTGTTCCTTTATTAAGAAGATGCAGGTTAATTTATCAAACAGATGTTTAGAATAGTTTTTTAAATTATTATTATACTGTTCTGTTTCACACCGATAAAGTAAATAAAGACTCCGTCTTCCATCCTTCTGAGGTCAGTAAAATGAGGGCCCAGATTGTTGAGGACAATATACTGACTCTGTAAGCTGCTTAGAGAGGGCTGTAAAGCACTGGGAAGCAGAATATAAGTAAGTGCTATTGCTAGGGCTATTGCTATGGTGGTTACTCTGCTGCAAAAAACATCGTAAAATGGGTTGGTCACATGATCCGCCAGCTTTACGACTGTCACATCTTACGATTGTACTGGGCAGTCTCCATTACAGTAATAATTTAAGTATTACCTGTATTCCATTATTTACTCACTTGTACACATCAGAGACTTTCTTTCTGCATTGAAAGAGATTTGTTACAACTATAATAGTAGTAGGAAATCTTCTCTGCTCCAAAATGAATCTGTTTTTCCACTGAGATCAAGGAGGGAAGTTCATTTGAGATTCTGATCTCCAAGTGAGTTCCATTTTCCAAGTTCCTTTGAGCAGGCCTACTCAATAGGACACCCTCAGTTGTGGAACAGCTGATAAGAACTGATACCACCTCTCTTCTCAGTTTCCACTGAATATGAATATGTTCTCAACTTACAATCACAATTGGGATTGGAATTTGAGTCATAAATCATGATAGTTGTACGTCAAGGCACCCATGTGACTAGACCTGATTTTACAACCATTTTATGGGGATCATTAATCAAATCATATGGTTGTAAGGCTAACCCTTTCTCCCGAATGTACACTTTTTGCCAGAAACCAATGTAAAACATCAAAAACTCTCAAAAAAGTAGCAAATCATGATCACATGATTGCAGGATGCTGCAACCAGTCATAAATATAAATTGATTGCCGAGCATCCGAAATGTGGTCATGTGACTAATGGGGAGCCTTGTGACATTTTCTGATAGAACCTTCTTATGACCCTTATAACCCCAATTGGTTGTTAAACAGTTGGTATTAAATTGAAGATTACCAGCACTATTATTTATACACGATTATTATTTATAAAAGGATGACTGCAATAACAGTCATCAACATGTCTTTTCAGCTTTATATGGTGAGAACCATGCTAGAATCCCTCATTGCAGACAAGAGTGGTTCAAAGAAGACTCTCAGAAGCAGCCTGGACGGGCCAATAGTTCTGGCCATTGAAGAATTCCATAAACAGTCCTTCTTCTTTACACATCTTCTGAATATAAGTGGTAAGTAGCAATATCAACTCTGAAATAAATAACCTAGACAGAATTAGCTTATCAATAATTAGCTTGTCAAGAATAACCAGCTCTAGAACAATGAAATTTTCAGTGCATTGTAATTTATATTAAAGAACTATTAGAACTGGGTGTGAATTTGAAAACAATTGTTAACCAAATAGTTTTGTTTAATAAATTGCAATCATATTCTTGTAAGAAAACAGTCTAATTTTATATATTTATATATTCAATTTTATCAGTTCAAATATGTTGTTATATTATCTTCATATAATATGTTGTAGCACACTTTGCAATATCTTTTTAGATTATATTCATTAAACCTGGTTTGCACTTTATTTTGGAGAATTATTATGTTTTCACTTACACTTTATATTGGGGAAATATCTTATGTTTTCAGAAGCCCTCCAACAATGCTGTGATTTGTCCCAACTTTGGTTCCGAGAATTTTTTCTGGAGTTGACCATGGGTCGCCGAATTCAGTTTCCCATTGAGATGTCAATGCCCTGGATTCTAACTGATCACATCCTGGATACCAAAGAACCATCCATGATGGAGTAAGAACTCCAGGATGATATGAAATGTATCTGTGGGTGTCTTTGTGATAATAATTGAAAGAATTTGATTTAATTCAAATTCAGCTTTGTGCCTCGTGATGAGGTGCAGTAATCAGTTTCCCTGTTTCGTTGCACCTGCCAATCTCTTTGGAAGGATAATTTACTTTTATTTATTGCATGTAGTCTAGTGGTATCCTCACAAAGAGGAGTGAAGGGCTGAAGTATTCTTAAACAACAATTTGTTTCATATAATATAAAGGAATTACAGTATGAAGTGATTTGTATAAAGCGATTTTTTTTCCTTTCGATTTTTAAGGATGTAAGGAAAAATTGATGATAGGAAATAATTTATGAGCAGGCTAGTAGATGGGCACTTGGTTGTAGATGCTAATAGAAATATTGCAAATGAATGAATTCATGAAATTCACGACAGTGTGCGATTGGCTGTATTCCATTGTAGGCTCATAAAATACAGTTTTATGCATGAAGAAAAGTTTTGATAGAGCTGAAGAGATTGTAAGCAAATATCGATTGGTAATGCACAAATTTAAGAAAGCTTGCTTTAATATTATATCAAGTTTTATGCAGGCTTTCCCAAAACCAGTAGTTTTAAATTAAATAGCATTTTAAAATTTCTACCATAGTTGAGACAAATATTTGCACAAACTTGTCTGTGCTGACCTATTTCATTAATTGCAGATATGTGCTCTACCCACTGGATCTCTACAACGATAGCGCATATTATGCTTTGACCAAGTTTAAAAAGCAGTTTCTCTATGATGAAATTGAAGCAGAAGTAAGTTCTCTCTGCATTATTGGTATTAATTATTAATATCAAAGTTTTGATTTATTTTACATATATCACTTCAACTTTTATGCCTGTTATTATAAAGCCCATTTTTGTTCTTTTTCTACCAGGTGAACTTATGTTTTGATCAGTTTGTGTATAAACTGGCAGATCAAATCTTTGCTTACTATAAAGCAATGGCTGGCAGGTATGAAACCTCTGTTGGTTTGGGAAGTATTGTGTCAGCTATTAATGTTTTTCTGTATGAATAAACTAGTTCTTGAGCTAAAGAATATATGATTTGTATGATGACATTACAAGAAGTAGACATAGCTGGAAATTGATGGAAGAAGATTGTTCATACTCAAACATGATAGCAGTAATTCATGGCAAACCTTTGCATAGTATTGCTTCTTGCTGAATGATTAATGCTTCTTCAGCAATTAAAAATCAACTGGTTGAATAATATCACCTAAAATCTGTTTTACATCAAGAAATTAAATTCTTTTATTATCAAAATAGTAGCTGCTTCTAGAATGTTTCATCTCTCCATGGATGGTTCACATAATTAATTTGGCAATTCACATTGTCTTGGTAAATTATTGCTTTTGATTTCTGCTAATGAGCCAATACCTTCCCAAAGTAGCTGAACAAGTTATTTTAGATATTGGAAACATTTTTTTCCACAACCAAAAATTTAAGTTTGCAGATTTCTATGATGATGATGATGGTGATGACATTAGAAATAATATTCCTGACTAACCATCTTTTCATATTAACACTGTACATAGGGTCTTGTAGGTCTGTTTAAAATTTGTGGAGAGAAAGCAAGAATTGCTTCCATGTCAGTTTCTACCTTGAGCTTTTTTCTGTCATATTTTTTTCTTCATTATCCCTTCATGCAAACACTAGATCTTATTACATACCGTAGTTCTTTTCATTGACGTCTTGAGAATAAATGAATTGTGGTAGTGAAGAAGCAATCAAGTAAAGATTCTTATGAGTATTTTTCATTTGCAGTGTTTTACTGGATAAGCGCTTCCGGGCTGAATGTAAAAATTATGGAGTGATTATCCCTTACCCACCATCAAATCGCTATGAAACATTGCTCAAACAAAGACATGTCCAGGTACAATTTCCTTTTAGCAAATTCTTTGGTGTTTTTATGGGCTGCTCTTTAGGACTAATTCACGCTTTAATTTCCTATGCCAAAGTCTGGGGGAATTAGTATGCCTGACATACACTTCCATGGCTTAGAATACTTGCTTGCAAGTATTTATGTTTTCCAGGTAACCATACTACCAAAAGGTATGTGTGTAAGGGCTTCACCTGTGAATCTCTGTATGGAAGAAGGCATTCTACATAAGGCATGTTTTTGGAAAATATAAAAAATACTCTCAATATAAGGAAGGAAATAAATAATGGCTAACTCCATTGGCAGCTTATCTTATAAATAGTAATGTAGCCCAGGTGAGAAGAAATCTGGGGAAAAGGCCTTCAAAGAGACATTGTGGTAATTAACTCACTATAAATGAAGGTGGCGAATTCCTTCAAATTTTTCAAAATTTTATTACCCCAGGTGAACATTAAAGGTGCCTTATTGGAAGCTGATAGCCTTTGTCCCCTTGGTCTTGCTTAGCATCTTGGGGTTTGACACCTTGTGCCAGTCCAAAATCTTAAGCACTCTAGTGTTCTGATTCTGTACTTGATTTTGGCTCTCTTTTTAATCACTAATTTCTTGGTTTTACACATGTGCCTTTTGCAGCTGCTAGGCAGATCCATTGACTTGAACAGACTTATCACTCAGCGTATCTCAGCTGCAATGTACAAATCATTAGATCAGGCTATTAGCCGCTTTGAAAGTGAAGATCTGACGTCCATAGTGGTAAGTATTGCTCCAAAACAAGGGACAAAATAAAATATATAGACAAGACTACACAATACTGCATATTTAGTATAATTGTATCCAATTGATATGTTCTGTTTATTTCCATCAACCTCTATTAAAGTGTGTTATTGCTAGTGTGATAATAAAATAAAAAAATACATCTACAGTATGTATGCTTTTACAGTGAGTTCTAACTTGCTCACAAGTATGTTGAGGTGATGTCAATCCTATACATTACTTTTGACAACTTAAATGTCAGCATTTAATGATTTTATTTATAGGCAAGGAAGAATTATAAATATTTCTTTGTTATTATCAATCAATCAATCAAAAATATCATTTTTCCATACTTCTTAAATATGTGTAAGATTCAAATTCCCCAGAAATTGGCAGGATGTTACAAACAACTTGGGTTGGGAAGATGCAAAAATTGGATTTGATTCTGATTCACAAATGCATTTTATACAAGTAGCCCTTGACTTATAACAATTCATTTAGTGACTGTTTGAAGTTACAATAGCACTGAAAAAAAGTGACATGATCATTTTTCACACTTACTACTGTTGAAGCAGCCCCATGGTCATGTGATCAAAGTGCAGACTCTTGACAACTGACTCATATTTATGATGGTTACGGTATCCTGAGTTCATGTGATCACCTTTTGTGACTTTCTGACAAGCAAACTCAGTGAAGTCACTTAACAACTGTGTTACTAACTTAACAACTGCAGTGATTCACTGAATAACTATGGCAAAAAAGGTCATAAAATGGGGCAAAATTCATTTAACAACTGTCTCATTTAGCAACAGAAATTTTGGGCTTAATTATGGTTGTATGTCAGAGAGTACCCGTAGATGGAATGCATTTGTTAATATTTGATTTCATCTAATAACATGGGACAAATAAACATTGTTGTATGAGGAATCTCAGTTTTTATCCTGAGAGAGCAGAATGTCTTTTCTTTTTTTTGATGCAGGAACTTGAATGGCTTTTGGAGATCAATCGTTTGACACATAGACTCTTGTGCAACCACATGACCTTGGACAGTTTTGATGCCATGTTCCGCGAGGCCAATCATAATGTTTCAGCTCCTTATGGGCGTATCACGTTGCATGTCTTCTGGGAGCTAAACTTTGACTTTTTACCTAATTATTGCTACAATGGATCTACTAACAGGTATGAATAAAATGTCAAAATAACATGTGTTGGTCCCCTCTCTGAAGACTACAGATAAATCTCTTAAGCTGCTAGAGATAGATAACTGCAATGGTTTGGCAGCTTTGTGTTCACTGTTCTTCCCAAACGTTAGAACATATAATTTGTCTAGGATAATTTAATTTTTAATTATTGCAATGAGTAGGTGTTTATAGCTTAAATGGCTCCTTTCTATTCTACAGTCCAAACCAGGTTGCATTATATAATGAATGAAATTACTAGTACAAATACAAAAGTGTTAGATGTATTACTTGAAGATACATCTCAGATATGTAGTGTTAAATTAGGGAGCAATGTTTAATTGAAACAGCTATTTTGTGTCATAAGTGGGTTAGGATGACTGATATAGCTTTCCTCCTCCTCACACATACTTTTTTTGTATCATTTTACAATTATTAGGTTTGTGCGGACAGCAATTCCATTCACCCAAGAACCCCAGAGAGATAAACCCGCCAATGTTCAGCCGTATTATCTTTATGGCTCAAAGGTGAGTCAAACAACATGGTTGCTGTTTCTGGATCTCCATACAGCTGATAGGGTTTTTGAAAATTCTTGTGCTCTTGATTTTATGGAATACTTGGCAGGAATAATAATCAATAACATACAGTCTTATTTTTAATCACTTCAGAATAAAGGAATTTAAATTTTCCACATTACGCCATCTGAAACAGTGCAGCATTATGTATCAAATAATAGCTCTGAACAAGGAAGCTAATGCATGTCTGTAACTCACTATTTCTGTAATCAGAGCATTTCTGGAATTTTAAGAGATCAGATGCCCCCTTCCCCCCATGTATATATTTAACTGTTATCAGTTATTCACACTATACTTAATCTCAAGATGTTATATAGCAGTAGTCCTCAACTTACAACCATCCATTTAGTGACCTTTCAAAGTCACAACAGCACTGAAAAAAATGACTTACGACCAGTTTTCACACTTATGAATATTGCAGCATCGTCATGGTCATGTGACCAAAATTCAGATGCTTGGCAACTTGCATGCATGAATGACGGTTGCAGTTCCTGAGGTCATGCGATCATCTTTTGTGATCTTCTGACAAGCAAAGTTAATGGGAAAGCCAGATTCACATAACAACGCTGTTATTAATTTAACAACTTTTTGGTAATTCACTTAACAAGTGTGGCAAAAAAAGGTTGTAAAATGGGGCAAAACTCACTTACATTGCTTAGCATTACATTGGGCTTGATCATGGTTGCAAGTGGAGAACATTGGACATTGGACATCAAAATTTTCATGCTGTTTTTAGGAGCAGCTCCCTACAGAAGCAACTTTTTAAGATGGATTCTAAACTGTTCTTTTGGCATCAGAAAATATAGCAGTATCAACAAAACTCAGACTGCAGGGCTAGTAGTACAGCTTCTATCCTGCATTGCTAAATTATCTTTCCATGGCTTTAGATTATCTTTAAAGAAAGCTTATGAATCAATGCATTATTGTTTAGTAGTTGTTTGAAATGCCATTGCTAAAAGAGAAAAAAGAATCTGAGCCAGATTGTTTGGATATTAAAAGGGGGGGAGAATAAAGTATAAATCATTGTCTGGTGCTTATCAACATATTATCCTTACTGTAACCATAATATGCTAATTGTCTTATTAAATAAACGTTTTGCTCCTCTTATTCTCAGCCACTCAACATTGCATACAGCCACATTTATAGCTCTTACCGAAACTTTGTGGGACCCCCACACTTCAAGACAATCTGCCGACTTCTTGGATACCAAGGGATTGCTGTTGTGATGGAAGAACTGCTGAAGATTGTCAAAAGCCTGGTAAATGGGAATAAATAAACCCACTGGTTTTAATCCTCGTCTTTCTGCTTCTCTTCTTCCTCCTAAAGTTCCTTGTGGTTGCCCAAAATCTGCTCCAGAAATTTAACTGATGTTCTGGCAAAGATTCGAGAAGGATCGGAAGTGGATCTGGGGAAGAGAGGAAGGAAAATTCATGTTGTGTAAATAGAAGTTGATTCGTGGGACGTTCAATATAGCTTGCAAGATTGCTCAAGATTGCTCAAGATTGCAAGGCAGATTTTAATTAATTTTCCAGACATGGTTTCTGCATAGGATTTGAAGCAGCTTTTCACATCTGCCAGTAATTCTGCTATAAATCTCTAATTATTCTGGCAGAAATAGAGTTCCCATGATACGGGAAACCTGTGTTCAGAAACCCATATACCAAAATTACCAGATCAACATAAGATATAGTGATTTCTTGGTAACAAAAGGAAAAAAGAAAAAAAATATTTTTGCACTGCAATATAAAAATATAAAACATCTGCTTGAGTTTTTTAAATTGGGTTACTATTAGTGTAAACTTTTAAAATTGTTTTCTTATTATGTTTTCAAAGAAAAATATTTTTAAATAGCTATTTGGGTATATTCTAAGTATTGTAGCTCACTTAAAGGTGATTTAAAAGTACTTGTTTGGATCCCAGCTCAAAAACACTATGAGGAGCTTCCAGAGACCCAGACATTTGCACATCCAGTTGCCAATTTCAATCATCTGTTTTTATTTGGCAAATGTTCCCCTTTGGGTTTTGAAATTTCTGAAGCCTCAGTTTCTTCTTACAAACTATTGAACTCAGAAGATGTTTCCGGCATTTCTACATTTCTTTACTTCTGTTTAATAAGCCATTATATTTAAAGCTTCCTTCTTCTTTGAACTGAGATAGGATCAAGATTACTTGTAACTGCATACATTGGCTGAAGGGAGCCAAGATTTGCAGCTGCAGGCCACTTTGTAAAACTGCAGATGTTTTGAATGTTGAGTCTACTTCCCAGAGCTGACATTCATCTCCAATTGCTTTTGATAGCTGCAAGGAACCATCCTTCAGTATGTGAAGACCTTGATAGAGGTGATGCCGAAGATTTGCCGCCTGCCAAGGCATGAGTATGGATCTCCAGGTCAGTACTGTGAGATTAGTACTTCTGCATAATACTAAGGAGAAATTTCCTGACAGAACAATCAGTGGAATGGCTTGCCTCCAGAAGTTGTGGATGCTCCAACATTGGATATTTTTAAGAAGACAGTGGACAGCCATTGGTCTGAAATAGTATAGGGTTTCCTGCTTGAGCTGGGTGTTAGACTAAAAGACCTCCAAGACTCCTTCCGACTCTGTTATTCTATTAATTCTTATTTGTTTATCACGTTTGGTTGTTCCTGTTCTTTGTTCAAAATCATCAGCATGACTTATTTTGAATTATATTATTTTCTTCTGGTCTCAGTTTGTGCTTTAGACATGTAGAAATATATTCTAAAGATTAAGGTTCCAGAGATTTAATTTAGCTACTAATTGAGAGTTGTAGAAACAACCTGGTTACTGTATAAGAATCACTGTAGAAACATAGATTAGAGCCCCGTGCAAGCACCCAAATGAAGGCATCCCAGATATGCCAATACCTTACCTGAGCTGTAGGCTCCACTGACAAACTTCCTATTGGGATTTTTTTTTCTAACATTAAATCAAATTCAGTCTTTGAGTAAATTAAACCACTATTCTTCCTGCACACCAGGAGGAAATTTTTTGAATTTCCACAATATGTCATCCTTTCAAGTATTGTATAGTGCTGTATAGTCCATCTACTCCAATCCTTTGTCAAAGTTAAATTTTCACAGTTTGTTCTCATAGGATTTCATTTCCAGTCCCGATTATCCTCTTTGTCCTACTGTAAACCCATTCCAGTTATTTTGAATCCTTAAAATATGATTCTCAGAATGGGATACAGTATTTAAAAAGGAATCTGAACAAAGTGGAAGAAAGTGGAACAATTACTTCCCATGAATTGGAACACATTTTTTCTTTTGATGCAGTCTAAAAATCGCCTTTGTCTTTTTTGCAGCCACCTCACACTGTTTGCAATCAGCTGCTATTACAAGATCTTTTTACAAGTTTTGTTACCAAGCTAAGAACTCCCATCCTGTACCTGTGCATTGGTTTCTTAGTGAAGAGTTTTCTATTTGTTTCTGTTACTTACCCACATTGTTTTAATTTTACTGCCATTAACAAAATCTGAGGCACCACCTCTTCCCAGTTACATCTGCACATTGCATTTGATATGCTTCAGAGAGGGCATGATTCAGATCCTTCTGTTCTAAATTTACACCTGGCAGGTCCTATGAGGTAGGCCTAGTTAAACCACCAAGTGGCCTCCATGGCTCTTAGAGAATGAACGACCAACCTTCAGAGTGATAACAACCAGATGACTGCAAAGAATATAAATCCTTTCATTCGCCACCATTCAGTCAGAAATGAATAAGCTTCTTGGATGAGAAGTGAAATGTTTTCAAGGAAAAACTAGGGAAGTCCAGAAGCCTTTCGAAAAAGCACCTTTGGGTCTTTTATTTATATCTTGCTTTTCCTTAGGAATCCTGGAATTTTTCCACCACCAGCTGAAAGACATAATTGAATATGCAGAACTAAAGACTGATGTATTCCAAAGTCTGAGGGAAGTGGGTAATGCCATTCTTTTCTGCCTTCTCATAGAACAGGCCCTGGTGAGTTAAAATGAATTATTTGGGAAAATAATTGGGCTTAAATCATTGTACGAGAAACAAAGGAACAAACAAATGAGCTATCTGTGTTCAATTAGATGTCAATTTAGCTGTGAACTATAGAATTTCTTAGTTCAGGAACTCCTATGTTCTCACTCCAGTGGCTTCTCCAACCTGTGTACCACTCCAATGGGTGGATGTCCAATCCCAGAATATATGGTAGCAATGGCCATGCTGCCTGGGATATTCAGTGAGCTAAAGCCCACACAGCCAGAAAGGTCCAGGATTGTAAAGGATGCTGAAGCTTGTTATTACTTGTCACAGCACTCTTCAGTGGCTTGCCAAAAGCCTGGCGAAATGAACTACAGAGACAAACACAGAAGCAGAAGGACTTGTCCATATGAATGCACTCTGAGTGCTTAAAGACAATACCAAAGAGCTGATTTTATTTATTTGCTTACTTGTTTTTCCATTTCTTATTGCAAAAAAAATCACAGTTGCCTTCAGGCTTCAATGCAGCTGCGTCTCTAACAAACCACAATAGTATTAAAATAATAACATGTGCACCTTGATAACATGATACATGTGCTTCATACATGCTTCAATTTTGAAATGATTGATAGCCCTTGCCTATTAATCCCACTTCAGGTGCAGCAGCAGTAATAGTTGCAGTGAATGTTGTTAATTTTGCATAAAACTGTTCTTAATATCTGTAAAGGCAACTTGTCTCATTACGTTAGCACCCAATATTGCTTCCTACATACCTGGGATAGCATCCAGCTCCAAATGAAAAAACTGATCTTTATTCTGTCAGAATAAATCTTAATAACCAATTAAGAAATAGACAAACTCCAGTTGCTGAATTACAATTCCTGGCATCTGTCATGATTTGCTATATAGCTTAGGGATGTTCTAAGTTGTAGTTCGGCAAGTTCTGAAATGCCACAGATTGCCTACCCCATACCAGTTTATAACTCTCTGAGGTTTCTATTCTTCCATTAAGATGAAAAAGATATTTACCAATTTTAAAGATGTCATGATTTCAAGAAGTCATGCCTATTCCCCTTATTGCTGCGACAATCCTTTTAAATTGCATAGTATTTAAACTATACTTGAAAGCTTACAATAGGTTCTCCCTTTTATTGGACATGTTTGTTTTTTTAATTGTTTAATAATAGCATGTTGTTTATTATGACAATACTGTAGTGTCAATAATTTGCAGATTGCCAAAGGTGGAATGGAGGTAAGCATTCTGAATCCTATGCCAAGAACTGTCCCCTGGAAGAAGGAGGAAATATTTATTGTATCCATAACGAAATTGCCTAATTTTCCTGGCAGTTTTTAGTTTTTAAATGAAGTAGTTAGGATTTAAAATAATTCCTCTGAGCTTTTTATGATCACAAAAATAAGCATAGTGCATGCAGAATATATTTTATTGAGTACATTGTATTATTTATGAATGTTTTTTGATTGAGACCCTGTCTCTTGCTGATGACTTTAAGAAAATATTTTGACATGTTTACTTTTCTGCTGTTGTTCTTTTCTGAGAGCAAAATAATGTATAAATGTACTAACTTATCATGAAGTAGGAATTTAGGGTGTTTCCAAAGTTGTTCTAAAGTTTTTTTTAAAAAAGTGTGCACCTTTCCTTGCCTCCTAGCATAAAGAAAACCGTCTTCTGGCATTAAAATGATAAACTCCTCCCTCTCCTTTAGAGGTAGGGGGAAATCTGGGTATAAGTGACTGTACTGGAGTGATGGTTCCAAGACTCTAGGAGAGCACAGGCCCTGATTATACAAAACTTCTACAGTGCACAGAGTTTTTTTCTCACATAAAAAGATTGGTTGGGATGCTACCTCTAGCAGCTAAAACTTCCCCTCTATGTTGGCCTTCCAAAGATTGAAATTGAACATTCCAAGTTCTGATGTGGCCTTTTTTATAAAATAGGAAACAGTGATATCTAATTATAGGATATATTACTTACCATAAGATATTACCAAAAGGCAGCTACTCCTTTAGACTCCCCTACAAAAATGTACACAAAATTACATTCTGTAAATCACTGAGGCTTGGATAAGGGACCAGTGCTCATGTTTTGGTCCATACCAAAGTGTGGCTGGGAATTGGAGAATTGATCACAACGTTCCAAATGCATCTTCACACAAGGGTGTATCAAAACCACCTCCTTTTGCAGTGTCTTGCCTCCTTGCATGCAGCTATCATGGCTTACTTTGTTGCTATACCGCCATGTAGAGTCATGCAGAATTTGCTGCAATCATTACTCAAGTCTCTGCCAACATTCCTGCTTCCGAGGTCTTGCCTCTTTGTGTGTCTGCAGTTTAGATTAACTCTCAATCTCTGTATGTGTTTTCAAATTTCTTCTCATTTGTGGTTCCTCTCTCAGCCTCTTCCAGCTCAGTTCTAAGTATGGCTACTTGGAAATAACTTTGACCTGAGATCAGTGGGCTATATTCCCAGGAAAGTAGGCAACTGACATCACAGAGTCTCTTTTTAAAAAAGAGTGGTCCATACCAGGAAACATGCAGCAAATTAAAATTCACAGGAAGTATTGCAGCAAAAAGCTCAAGCCTCTTTGAAGTCCATGAAACATAGATTTGAACATAGATAGATAGAACAGCTGTATTATTCACTGTATACCCAGAGCCTGAAGGCCAATCAAGATCTTCCATGTTTTTGAAAGTAAGAGGAATTCTGGAGATTTGAATCTGGCCTATGTCTGTATGAGCAGAGTTCCTCTGTGCCATCCTGTTTTTTCCCCCCACTTGACATGTAGGTATCAAATAAGTCTTCCTTTCCTGTAAGCACAGTCTTGAACCAAATGTCATACAGCTCTCATGCTGCTTTCAGGTGAAAAACACAGCAACAAATAAGATACCCAACGTAGAAGATCTCGTGCTGAGTCAACTTTGGCCCCCAGTCTGGTTCATCTTCTGCTTCCTGTAGTTTGGATCTCTTACTTACTACCAACCGATTCCAAATGGAAGTTGATTAAAAAAAAGAAGACACTCAGGAAGTCAACCTCTGTTGAGTGATGCCAAGGAATCATTTTATGAGGATATCAAAGTGGGCAGTAACAGAATTCTCAGACCCTTTTAAAAATATTTTGGGCATTTTCCTCAATAAACAGATACTAAGACTTGTATGTGTGTGTCTGTGCGTGTTCACAAATATATATATATATTTGCTTATACATTGTAAATATATATTTACTTATATATAAGTAAATATATATTTACTTATATATTGTTACTTGTGAACACCACCACTACCCCATATAATTTGGAGATTTGCTATTAAATTTTAGAAGTACACTACTGGGGCTGGAGCTTTACAGGGCCCATAGGCTGCTAACAAAATAACTTGCAACACTATATCAAGGGCAGTTGAATACTCTGTGTCCAGGTGTTAGATTAGCCTTTCCAAGCTCCAAACTTGGACTGTACATCTATTGGATTGATCATTGTCCCACTGCCATCAGTGGCCAAAGAAGGCTCTGTGAAAAAGTTATTTTTAGCTATGCCCTTGCTATTTTCCATCTTGGTTGTTTTTTTTTCAGTTTACCAAATGTTGAGTCTTTGTTGATGCACACTTGCAATTAACATAGCCAAAAAAAAAATCACCAAATTTTCATTTTTTTTCCTCATTAAAAGGCAAGTTAACAACCCCGGTATATTAATTTAATTTATAATATTGTCATACTATTTTTCAAGGCAAAGCCTTGTCAAAAGAGATTACAATATAATGTAAGCACATTTTCTCATAAACCTAGACTCCAGCTTATTGCTTGAATTTACTGGCTTAAACGCAACTAGTATCTGTCACATACATAATACACTGTGGCTTACACACTAAGTTTTTGTAATGGGGACGCTCAGTTCCAGGTGCAGATATTCAGTCCTAATTAAAGTCATGGCCTGGTAGAAAACCTGAAAGTCTGGTACATTCTGGAGTTTTTTCTATTAGTGCAAGACATACTCCATGCTTCGTCAATGCAACTGGATGAAATTTTCAGGGTGCCTTTATAGTTCGTATTTAAACAAATCATTCAGAGAATTCTTCTTTAGACTGATTTTAAAAAAGCAATTGTGAGAGGACAAATCAATTATATACATCTATTAGCAGCCTATATGTGGATACATCTATGTGGAATAATGTAATCATTCAAGATATATCAACACAGTCCCTCACAATCTTTGGCTGTGCCTGACAACTTCAGATCACCCAAAGGAGGAGGAATATGGTTAATTACCAGCAGTCCTTATTACAGTCTTATGGAAAATACACCATTTAGCAGCAAGGGTCAAGAAATCCTACTGCTGAATAAGAAGAAATAACAAAGCAGAAGCGCTGAATTTTACAAAAAAAACCAAGATTATCTTTATTGTAAACTTACTTTTGACACACGTGTCCGTTTTTCCTCGATATTGAGCTAGAATTGAATAGCCTTTTGAAAGCAAATAGATCACTCTGCACTTCCCGTTTTGGTTGACAGCTAAACAGTCAGTACTTAGGTAGTTTTTAACACCTTTTATTTTTCTTCCTCCCCCTGCCTCAGTCCCAGGAAGAAGTGTGTGATTTGCTGCATGCTGCTCCCTTCCAAAATATTTTGCCCAGGGTCTACATCAAAGGTAAGGTGTGAAGAGATGCACAGATATCAGTCATTATTCCCTAGCTATGTAGTAGCAATGAAGTTACAGAAATTTCAGCTTTCAAAGAATCTTAGATGTAGTTAGCTATTCATTGCCTTCATTTGACTAGGGACCCTATTGGCCAATTCACAAGAAAGGGCACCCTGTAAGCAAAGCAAGATGTTTGCATTAAATACAAGATCCTCTTACAAGTGTATTTGGTGTCACAGTTGTAAGTAGTGATCCTTCTTCTCAATTCACTTCCACAGTTTTATGTCATACTTGTCCCAGAGTTGGATAATGGTTGGGAGATGACTCTGAAATGCTAGGTTTTTTTCTTTTCTTTTTGCTTTCTCATTTCACTGTTTGCTGCTCGCTTAACAGAAGGAGAACGCTTGGAGGTACGCATGAAGCGTCTCGAAGCCAAATATGCCCCACTTCACCTGGTTCCCTTAATAGAGAGGCTGGGAACTCCTCAGGTAAGGATGACATTGAAACCCATATTGAATGGGTAACACAACACATCACCCACCCCTGATTCTTCCTCCCCGCATCCCCCATCCTTCGAATGTCCCGGACCTCAGGAAGCCTTTCTATTTTTGTTGCCTGAATTTCAACTGTACATCCCAGAATATTGATTGAAACATTACTGAGCAAAATGGATGAAATTCAATATGATTCTTATGCAGTCATGTCCCCATAATCACCCTATGTGCCAGAGACAATTAATTTGTCATTATTGGCCTGAATATAAATTATTTTATTTTATTTTGTTATTGTTCAAGTGAACATCAGGCAAGGCATTCTCTTGTCTCTGTAAGGGGACCCTGACGTTTCAAAGTAGTCATGGACTCCTACTGTATCCTATGCCCCTGGCTCCATTTTATTATTATTATTATTATTGGTTCTGTCATGGGAAAGAATAAGAGCAGGCCACCCATTACAATACTTCTCTGTCAAGTTTTCCATATCTTCACTGACACTTTGTTATAATATGCCGTTTGCAGACAGCACATTAATTGTGGCAATCAAATTATGTATTTGTTTATTTACAAAATTTTATAAACCACCCACTCATTCTAGACAGCTAACAATATTCACACACTGAAGTGTCCAGTGATAAAATCAATACAGCAGTCCTAAGTTACAGGTCACAATTGAGACGAGCAACTCCGTCACAAAGTGGTATGGTTGTAAAGTAAAACACCACATGACCTCGCTGCTTTACAACATCAATTCTGGCTGCAGCTCTGAAGCTAATGCTGTGTGGTGGTTATGTGTAATGTCGTATATGATCACAACTTGCGACTTCTGCCAATTTTCCCATTAACTTTAGGTGTCAAAAACCTGCTGTGAAAGTTGTAAATGGAAATCACTTCACCGCGGGACCCTACAACCGTCATAAATGTGTGCCAATTGCCAAGTGCCCAAAATACCAATTGGCACTTGGTGTTTTACTTTACATAGGAATGCTGGGACAGCTGCAAGTTCAAAAACTGGTCGTAAATATTTTTTTAGTGCTTTCATAATCACTGAACAAGAAGTCGACAAGTGAAAGCTACTGTATCTGATATTATCCTTCTTTTAAAACCTTTTCACTGAATCTGTAGAGATTCTCAGTCATCCAGGTCATGGTTGTCCCAGGAGGCATCTGGGGTTTCTTGTTTTTTTCTTTTGAACACGTTTCACTTCTCATTCAAGAAGCTTCTTCAGCTCTGACAGGATGGTGGGGGAATGGAAGGATTTATACTGCAGCTATCTGTAAGGAATACAAATCCTTCCATTCCTCACTATCCTGCCATTTGGGATGTGGTTCTATATCAAGACGTTTTCTTGATTCACTTTCTTAGTGTACCCTTCACAAGAACCTGCAATCAATCTTGTCTTTCTGATGATAACACATATTTTGGCATTTGATTACTTGTCTCCCTTTCAAGCATAGATTACACAGTCATACACAGACATGTTGCATTTTTGAATACATACTTACAGTATAATGGCCAGTCTTGGCAGGTTGCAATTCCAGAAATGTTGGGTTTTCTCCACGCTTTTATATTTTGTGGCTTGGCTCACTTGCATGAGTTACTTAATCTTTTGTGCTTGGCAAAGCTCTTTTTTGCTACGCATCTGCTCTTTGCTTGTGGTTCTTTTTAATAGAGGGCTCGGCCTTGAAGCTATCAGCTATATTGGGTTTTTTTTCCCCTCTAAAGATTATTACTTTGAAAATGACTGAGATTCTCACACAGAATACCAGTATAGTTCAGGCTACATGTCTGTCTTATGACTCCCAGAATTCTAACATTTGTCCTGGATCGTAACATTTAAAAATAAATGCATTTCTTGGGCCCATTTTGAATTGATCCTTGTGGAGGACTAAATGAAGCAATATAAGGAATTTTGTGACAAATATTCACCTGTGTTTGCCTTTTCCAACCTAGCCCCCTCCAAATGTGTGAAGACAGTAACTCACAGAATCCCCAGATGCCATGCTGGTAGTTACTGTCCCTACACAGATGGTGGAGGCCAGCCCTGAAGGTGTTGTTTCTGTGCTTGGGGCCTTCTCTGTATGTAATGCTTTGCTCTTTGTCTAATATCCATATATACCCAAGTCTTAGATGATCAGTTGTCCTACAACAGCAGTCCAGATAAAATGAATGACATCCATTGCTCCTGCTGATTTCAGTGAGATATTTGTAAGCCTGTATCAGCTGCAGTCTTTGTGGCACACGAGAACATTTAATGAAACATTTAATTTAGAGCCAACCTAGATGTGACATGGTGGGAAATAGAATTTATTCTTTAAAAAAATAAAAACTTCACTAGCAGTCCCGAATGAAGGAAGCTAGCTTGCTTAGCCTTGAACCTTTTTAAAATCCTCATAGTCAGTCTGAAGCTGCATGAACTGCTAACAATCGTTACACCTTAAAATATATAATTTGTTCAGTCTTATACATCCCATGGATGTACAGATTGCTCCTGATGATTTGAATTCAACTGAATCAGTTCAGATTGATTAATGCTATAAAAATGCAAATGCTCATGGCTGAAGTTAAATCTGTTTGGATGCCTCTAATACAATTATTCAAACTGAACCAGCTGTCCTATTTGGAAAATTAAGTCAAATTATACATTCTGTTGGTTGAATCTTGCAATTTAATGTTTGCTGATTTCCTAATACACCTTTCTCATTTTTCAAATAACTCAAGGTTACTAAAAGTGCAGGAATTTGTCCAGGCAGTCAACAGAAATCAAAAACTGACTTGAAAGTGCACGTAGACACACCTATTCACTAGACAGTATCTTAATATACTATCAGGTACTCGCAAATCATTTACCACTATTAACCTGAATTATTTCCATCATAGTATACATAGTAAGAACATTTTGAGACACTGAATATAAACCGGTACAGAGCGAGACATGTTCTCAGTGATCTCAGATGATTGCTCCTAACATAGCAAAGCCTTGGGCCTTCTTGCTCTTGGATTGCTTGCTTCTGAGTAACATAGATGGTAGTGCCTCTGGGGAAACTATCCCTATTTCTGTGGGATTCCACTGAGTTTTTCACAGCCCAGGTCCTAGGTTAATCTCTCCATTTGAGTTGTACAACATCGTACCCTTTCTCTGAAGAGCAGATAGGCATTCCTTAATATTCAAACATACTGCATACATGATTGAGAACCATGTGTACCTCAGCATATTTACGTTTATTATGGAAAACAGAGGAATAGATGTGAAACAATGTCATTCTGAAGGATAGGTCACATTAGTCTCAAGAAAATAATAAAATATCTATTTTTCCTTAATTGTATTGTTAATTTCAGGAAAGGTCACAAATATCGAATACATAAATTTTCTATGCAATAATTTGATTTGCATCTCTTTGCGTTTTCTCTAAAGTTTTCTATTTTTTTCTCTTCAGAATATCCCTGTGACACTATTTGTTTATTTATTTATTTATTTGTTTGTTTATTTATTTACTTATTTTATACACCATCCATCTCACCATCAAAAGCAAATCTATACTTTAGTTAATAATAGTAGAACTCCAATGTCAGATTTGCTACATGAAACAAATATGGACTTAGACTTAATCACTCTTTGAAACTATTGAGAAACATTGTGTTGTTATTGATACTAGTTGATGATAGTCTGCATTAAAATTATTAGAGAAGACTTGGAGCAGAAAAGAAGAGACTGAAATACTTATGTCATTTAAGGAAATACTTAACTATCAGTGTACCCATTTTAATTTGGGTAGTACAAAGAAGATGTTGAAGAAGAAAAATCAACATCTCTATAAAAACTTAGACAAATCTATTTAGAAACTTCAAGAAACTCTTCTTAAATAAGATTCCCAAAAGGAGAAGAGCTTTATTTTCTTGCTTTGCCTTGAAATATTATATTCCCTTTTAAGTCTTTTTCTCATTGAAGAGTTATGAGTTCATTTTTGTGTACAATTTATATACTGTGGTGCCCATTGTGAAGACTCTAAGACAGTTTATAGCACTTAATGCAATATGATAAAACCAACCTCAGTATGAGCAATCACGGCCCAAGTAAAATATTTCATAAAGGTTAATAATAACAGCAGCCACAATATCAACAGCAACAATAATCCTATCAAGAACAGGGCTTATCTCCACTATTAGCAGCCAGGGGCACAACAGAACAGCATACTTTGGTTGATTTCAGATTTGGGACCTCTTAAATGTAAGGGGGACAAATGGGTCCTTCATGTGGAGCTACAACTGAGAAGATCACCTTTGGGCCACCATCTTTATATGAGGCAGAAACTTTAAACTTCCCACCTGAATAAAAGTGGACAGGTACAGTATACTCAGAAAAGACATATAAGGACTGAGTCTTGTAGGGTTTTATATGTAATCTCTAGCACTTTGAATTGGACTTGGAAAGCTATTGATAATCAATGCAGTGACGAAAATATTGGTGTGGTACTACTAACTGCTTATGCCTTTTGGCCAGTAGGGATCTGTGTTTTGGGCCTACTGTGGCTTCTCAGTTGTCTTTTGAAGAGTAGCATACCCATGTAGAGAACTGTATATTTTAGTAGTCCAGTCATTAAGCATCAGATTACTCTAGGAAATACTTTTTTTCCCAATTGCCCCAGCTGACATTTATTTAAAAAAAAAGTAAGTTCTTGCCACTAATGTGCTGCTATTTAAAGGACATTCTGCTTTGTTAATTTTAAAGACATACTGTCTATGTATGTTAAGAAATCTCGTACTTAGAAATCTTTTCCTCAAAATCTGATTAGAATAAATCAGTAAGAATGCAACTGTTGCATAGTGAAAAATATTTAACTCTATTCCCAAAGCCCATATTTGATTCCCAATCCTATAACTCCCTGAGTTGAGTTGGAAATTACCTGAGAGGAAATCAGTGTAAGATTTCAATGTAAGAATCTTCAGTATGCAAGAGAAGTAGCAGATGTATAGCCTGAGAATTATTTTTGGGGATTCCCAATATAAACTGATTTGCAAATATTTACTCCTTGGTAAAGTACATCTATAGTCACAGTTTTCTATATCATTTTTTAGCTTTCGGTGCCTAGGTTTAAAAATGGATTGGTCCATTATTATCAATATGCATACTAGATGGTCCACTTTATATTTCAACTAGAAGTAATGGGTAACACCTACCTTAATATCTATGGAGATTATCAGTCATCCAGGTCATGGTTGTCCCAGAGGTGCGTTTTTTCTTTGACGATGTTTAGCATCTCATTAAAGAAGCTTCTTCAGCTCTGACTGGATGGTGGGGAATGGAAGGATTTATATCCTTGCAGACAGTTGGTCATTTGCATTCTTTTAGAGGGTCGTTAAGGTGAGCCATGTTCAGATCTGAACATTGGGGAAATGAAACAACTTCATAAACTCATGGCACAACATAGGAGAAAAAACAGATCAGGACTAGATTCAGCAGTCACTCTGCATTTAAAACACACAGGCTACTCTTTTGAAGACAACAAAGTCCATATTTTGGACACAGGATCTCTGGTTTGAAAGAGGAATTAAAGAGGCCATTTATGTCAAAATCGAACAACCCTCAATAGAGGGGAAGGGATATGACATCATTTATCTCCAATCTACAACAGTCCTTTCAACAGTTCCAAGAAGGCTCCACACCCATTTGCACCACTCAGGTGACCCTGATGGCACAGATAAACCTACAGGTGACCTTAACAACCAAATAAAAGAATGCAAACTACCAGCTATCTGCAAGGAGTATAACTCCTTCCATTCCCCACCATCTTGAAAAAGCACATTTGGGACCTACTTTCATAGTTTTTTTGAACCTAAAAGATAAACAGTATTGAAATAACTCAATATGTACTAATGAAGGTGCCTTAGCATTTTTGTAAAGCAAATAGAATAGGTAAAGTCCATCCAGCTGTGCTCTTTTGTGGTTGCTACTGCATTATCAAAGGACTGAAATGGCATAGCAGTGTGAGGCTGAAATACCTTTAATTGTTCACAGTTGTGTGCTAATCAATTTCATTCTGTCATCCTGCTGCCCATTTCTACACTGCATATCTGTATTTTCATCATGTTGCTCTCTTTCCAATGAAAGTGCAGAAAATTGACAAATGCAGTTCTCCAGGAAATAGTATATATAGCCCTCATTTGTTTCTGCATGCAAATGATTCATGCTTTTTAGATTACCCAAAATATTGAATTATTGATATAGTAAAAAATTATTTTCTGACTATGTTTACCATCGCTTCTGAGTTCTAAAAAATTGGATGGAAGTAGAAATATTTAATTGACTTTCCAATTTTCAAAATAGAGAAAAATATTTTTTCTTATCTCAAAAATGTTTATTCTCTTGCGATCATAATTAAAATACATAATGGAAAATTACCAGAACAGTGGTTTTTTTCCTAGGTTCTCTTTATTATCTGTCACACTTTAAGTTTCTCATAAATTTTGCATTACAGATTATCAATATTAAATTTAAGCATGTACTCAGATATGTAAACTCATCCTAAACAGGAAATACAAATCCACAAAGGCATGCAGATCAGGATTAATAATGTATAATAAGCAAATACTGTTAACATAATTATTAAATGCACATATAAAATACTTGGTCTTATGCAAATTACACTTCATTGAAGTAAAATATTCACTACAGTAAGAAAACATTATTGCAGACATATATTTCACTGTCAGGAATTTAGTTTGCATGACCAATGTCACGTGCAGAAAATATTTTTTTTTTTTAAAAAAAATCCCAATAGAGCAACAAATTTTGGCTCTTTCCAAAATGTCATTTCATTCAAAGAATACCACTAAAGTAATAAATATTTGGATAAAATATACAAAGGTGTATTAGAAAGCAACTTCCTTAAACTAAACAAAGCAGTTCAGTTATTCTCAGGCAAAACTTTACTAGATTTTAATTAAATCTAAGCAAGCTAAGCCCTTTCCTAAACATTTTAACAGGTTCCAAACTTTACTAGAGGGCTGGGTTGGGAGATCAATCTGAAAATTCTGGAGAAATTGGTATCTCATAATAAAGCTTTCTTCCTCATCAGCAAATAGCCATAGCCCGTGAAGGAGACCTGCTGACCAAGGAGAGATTGTGCTGTGGGCTGTCCATGTTTGAAGTTATCCTGACCCGCATTCGTAGCTACCTCCAAGATCCCATCTGGCGTGGGCCTCCCCCAACAAACGGCGTCATGCATGTTGATGAATGCGTTGAATTTCACCGGCTCTGGAGCGCCATGCAATTTGTATACTGCATTCCAGTTGGAACAAATGAATTCACTGCTGAGTGAGTAGGCCTGCATTGAAGGCTACATCCCTTCTGCAAACAGCTGAGATTTGATGACATGTAAATCTATAGGGATACTTTGCTAGTGACTGGATTCCGTGTGTTGAGGCTATTTCTGAACAAAGGCCACATGGCTGTCTTTTTGTTACATGAACTTCTCAGAATGTATGATTTCTTCATAGAATCAAGCAAGAAGATTTGCAAATCTTTCCATCATTTCTAAATAACATCTTCGCTATTCCTTTTTATTCTAGACAGTGCTTTGGAGATGGCTTAAACTGGGCTGGTTGCTCAGTCATAGTTCTTCTGGGACAACAACGTCGTTTTGACCTTTTTGACTTCTGCTATCATCTGTTAAAAGTGCAAAGACAGGATGGGAAGGATGAAATCATAAAGAACGTGGTAAGTCTGAGATGGAACACATGGACTTGTATAGGTTTTATTCTACCAGCTGACTGTACACCCTATACATTGAGTATTGGTGGTTCCCCAGAGTTTAAACAGTTTTTTTACATATCCCAGGTGGAAACTTGAAAAGGTTTTTGGGTCAAACTTCAGAACTTTTGCACTGCACTGAATCTTATTTTAGTGAGATGATTTTCTGCTCATGAAGATCCAAATTTCTGAACCTTTGACATTCTCCATGTAAAGCATGTGCTTTATCACAAAGCTGTGGAATTTCTTCTGAAACTGCCTTTTTTATTCTAAAAGGCAGATTAGCACAACTTGTATTTTGGGGATTTTGCATTTTTATGTGGGAGAATTATATAAAGAAACAGTAAATAATTCATCCCAACTGAACAGGATGATGTCTATTGTGAGTGCTTTGTATATACATATAATAAATTCGGGGTCTGCTGGCTTTTATTAGCAAAGGTGTTGTGTACTTTTGTCTCACTGGTAGTGAGGCAAGGAGAAAGAGGAAAAGAATGACTTAATGAAGTCAATAATTTAACAAATATAGACTTGTGCATAAATTTAATAAAAATGTGAGGCAAATGAGTTATTTTCCAGTTCCTTTGTGGAAGCATGTAAAGAAATATTATGTTTATGATGCCTAAGAAATAAGAAAGTTTGAAACATTATTTTCCCATTTAGAGGCAGGAGAGAACTATTCTAGATATTTATCCAGTAGTCTTGATGATTCTATTGACAAAAGAATGGCTATAAAAATAGTAGAGATGGTGTTCATGTGTCCTTATTCCCTGTTTTTGTGTTAATCTCCAGCCACTTAAGAAAATGGCTGACAGGATCAGGAAGTACCAAATTCTGAACAATGAGATTTTTGCCATCCTGAACAAATACATGAAATCGGTGGAAACAGACAGTTCAACAGTTGAGCATGTGCGCTGCTTCCAGCCCCCCATCCATCAGTCCTTGGCCACAACATGTTAAATATTCAGCCTTGGAAATACAGTGTGAAGATTTGTGTCTTTCCATTGGACATTGGTGAGAAAAGTTGGACTTCAGCTGTTGGAAGCCAAACAGCTGCAAACACAGGTCTCCGCAACAAAGCAGGCATGGATGGATCCAGTACACAAAGATGCATTTCCTAGAAGACTCATTTGAATGCATGTTCTTCTATATCTTTCTGGCTGGCTTTACCTATAGTGTTGAAACTGTGGTGAGAAGAAGCAGAAAGTGTATTTTTTCCTCCTGGGGTTTCCTTTATTTTCATGACAACCCATAATCCATCTGATCAAGCACAAAAATCTGCAGTCTTTAAATGGTCATTGTTTTTGAGATTCCAACGAAAGAAGCCCACATTTCAAAATGTTGCCAGTCTTCCACTTGGTGCATACTGAAATAACAGCAGTTTTCCTTGATAACTTGGTTTTGTGATATAAGTGCTTAAACATTTTGAAATAATGAGTTTCTCCCCTACAAGTGATACAGAAAAGGCATTCTATCATTTTACAATAGCATATAATTGTTTACTTGAAATTAACAGGTTTCTGCTATACTGTGTTATCTCACTTTCTAGATTTACTTTGCTAAGCCAAATTTGGAATTAGTTTACAGTGGCATATTAACAAACAAACTCAATTTTTGCATTGACTGACAGTGCTACGGAGAAAGGGAAACAAAGTAATGCTTTCTTTTCAGTCTCTTTCTTGACATGAATACATCTGAGCTAATATTTGTTTCTTACTGTTAGAATTACAGACAGTCATTGTCTATATGTGATACACATTGTAATGGCCTCAGCCCTTAGTGAAGTTAGCAGGCCACATCTTCTTCAAAGATTGATTGGAAATGGGGTTCATATTTTGAGCTGAGCATCTTTTTCTCTTTGGAATGCTTTTAGTAGAAGAATGAGATGGTTATATGTCTGTATTCCTGAAAATGGGAATCTATGATAATTCAAAATTACAGATCCATATTTATAATCGAAAGGAAATGCTGTTAGGAATACATACAACAAAATCTTTGATTCAAACAACAGCTTGTCTTCCTTTAATATGTATGGTTCCAATGACATATTGATTTCCCATAGCTGATTTTAAAAATGAAAAAGCTTATAGAATGAAGGGGAGAGATAATTTTAAAACACATAAGTACTTTTCTTCATAATAGATCTCTTACTTTCTTCATCCAGGAGATAAATCCACACAGTCAAAAGAAATTAAGTCAGGCACTTTCCATAACACACAGTCAAGAGAAACTACACACAGTCAAGAGAAATTAAGTCAGGCACTTTCCATAACAGATATGTATAGGAAAAGGTACACTTTAAAGAGACAAGATTGGGCAAGAATGATGAAAGAGAAACAATTAAGTCAGTCACAACTCTTCTTTATCAGGTGAGAAGATCTTTGCAACTGCAAATATGACAGTAAAATAGATTCTGAGGATAAAAGCAACCCAGTTTAGCAAGTCTCATTATCCAAGCAGAACTGGTTTAATTACTAAAGCCCAAGCATGTAACAGGTCAGAAAAGGAAACGTAGGATCTTTTAAGACGTAAGAGAATAATTCATTTCTGAGTTCTTTTGGTATAGTCTAAGGGACTTGATTTATCTATCAAGGTCCCCTATAATTCTCCAGGGTAAAAAGAGGAATTTTAGAATGAAGTCCTTTAACATTTCAGTGGTTCAGATAAATGTCCTATAAAGAAAATATAAGTTGCTCTAGTGTTGGTTACAGTTTCAAAATTAATTCAAAATATTAAAGATTTGGACAGTTTTCCTTGTTTTTGAGAACAGCAGGGGTATAGTGTATTAAAAAGTTCCTGTATGTAAATGAATGATAGTGTGCAAAACAATAGTTGTCTTCTATTCATCTATGGAGGCTCAATCATTAGAACATCTTGGTAATTTGTTGCCGATGCCATTTTAAAGTAATGATCTGTGAAATTCTGGAGATGGGGGTAGAGGTGTTTTTCTGTTCTTTAGCCTGCAAAAAATAAAGCCAGGCTCTTCCAGTGTTGGATATTTCCCAACAGTTCCAGCCTCTTCCATAACAGTTGGCTTTTAACCTTATCTTATTCAAGTCTACTTTGCCAAATTTGCTGCCCTTCAGAATTTTGGCCCCTGCTCTGATGGGAAGATGCCAAAGAAGGACAATCTAGCTAAGTTTTTGTTTCCCATCATTTAGATTTTAGAAATTTTCATCTATGCTTTTTCTTCTTTATCATAAATGCATATTTAATTACTGTTCATCACAATGAGCCAGGTTATTAAACCAGAATCTATTAATAATGATAAAAAGAGAAAAAAACTTAGCTTAATGTTATCTGTTTTCAATCTTGTAAGAACATTATATCGTAAGCAACAGCAGCAGCATAAGATTATTAGTATTAAGTATGTGGCCTTTCTTAAATGCCTTCTTTCCACTGGAGATTTACACCTCTTTATATAGAAGTTGATGGAATATTGTTTCACATATCATTTCTGCTTCCTATGCATAAGAGGTACAGAGGTAGCTATTTAAGTGGTAAGATATTTGAGCTTTTTTCATGCAACCATGATACCAGCAACACTAAGCCCTCTATCTGAGAGCATCAAAGCAGAAATTCAAATATATAGTTTTCTTATTTGTACTAAGGAGATATTTACCTAATCATACATTGTTTGCTTTTCACATGAGGTCATATCTTGCCACACCAGATTCCAGGTTGAATAGAAGTCAACATCTGTACAATTGTATGTGTGGAAACTTTTTCAGAACAATAAGTATATTGCGTAGGCAAATGTCTGATTTAGTGTAATATCTCAGGTGTGATTCTGGGACTGGGCTTAACATTCATTCAATGGGTTTGTAGTGGTTAAATAAGGGTATCTTGTATTAATGGAAATATGAAAGGCTCATAGAATTAAGACTCTGTACACAGGCAGCAATGGTGAACAAAAGAGTTGAGAGAAAGGAAATGTCCTACTTTTTTCAATCCCAAATGTCTGGCAGAACAGTTTGAGTGTTTTCTGAAAGACAGAACTCCTTAATAACACTGTTTCTACCATAGTGAGCCTTCATTAACTTTAAAAAACAAAGCAACCTTTAAAAACTAAACCAAACATGAACATACTCTTGTGATTGATTTTTAATTCACTTGGTGAGATAGACACCTCATTCTTTTCTTTCTTCTTCTTCTTACAGCAGTCATGAAATATGATAAATAAAAGATGTAGTTACCCATCAGAGCTGGATACTATCATAGTTCTAAATTTTCCATTTATCTTGTATTATCCCAAAATATCTGCCGTAGGATTGGTATAACATTCTATATTTTGTTTTCTGAAGAAGTGTGTAGAGAACAATAATTCTAATAAGCATTTTTAGTCATGTGAAAGAGGTTGTTGGTTCTGCTTTTATATTACTATTACAAAAGAGATCTCAATCAGTCTCAGAAAAAAACCTGATACTTGTAGGGAAATCCTAAATATTGTCTGTGGTGGTGAAAAGAAAAGCAGGATTTTGTTGAAGGTTAAAGTCTCGTCACTGAGTGTCAGAGAATCTCAAAGTAAATTCAGATATATTTTATTCAGGTTTTTGTTTAAATGTTTTTCACTTACCAGACATTGGGATCACGTTAATCTAAATACAAAATCATGTATTTCCTGTTCTTATGAATGAGAAGGAAAAGATGGTTTTCAATAAATTGGGATTGAGAGGCCCTAACTACCTCTTTTTCAGTTATTTGCTACTTTCAAGTTTCATTTTCATTAACAACAAAAAAGTTTTGGTGCATTAAATTCTCCAACCATATATGATATATAGTTTGGTTGGTAATCATTCTTCATGGAAATTAGCAATTTTACAAAAATGTGTTTTAAGTCCTTTAAACTAAGAAAAGTACAAAACAATGATCTGTTCAATACATTTTGATTCCCTCTAGTTCCGTTAGATTGCTCTCGTTTTGGTTTTAAAGATTTCAGATGAAAAATAAGTGATTTCAAATGAAACATACACTCTCTCAACTTGAATTATATTCCTTTCCCCAACAGCACTTGTCAAATATATCAGAGCCCATAGTAATTCCCCTGCTTTTCTGTATTAATCTGCATTTCATTAGTACTTGGATATTTGAGAATATAAACACAATCTTTTTTTAAAGGAAAATATAAGGAAAATCTTTGTGTAATTCTTCCAAATGTATCCTGTTTGTATGAAAAATGTCTAAGTTTTTTTGTACAACGACTTTACATTTATTTATGGTGCAGTATATTTACAGCAGTGATCAGCTATGGTGTTTGAATCATATTTGCTAAGCAGCAAAAAATGGTATATATTGTTTTATATTTTTTGTTCTTTCATCATTGGTCAACAGAGATTTTGTTGCTGTTCCAATGCTTCTCTAATAATAAGATACCTTGCGTGCAATGACATGATGATGACCTGTATTGCAGTTTCAAACAATGTGTACAATAAACTTGGGATGAATCTAAGGGGGAAATTTGAAATAATAAATGTGTGAACACGAGGGTGAAGAAATGACTCCGTCACTTGATTTTGTCTGTGATTTAGGATACAAGATGAATTTCCTTGAATTGGGCATTTCAGAATCACCTGATGTTACAAAGAAATCTGGGTTGTCCAACTGCAATGTTAAATTGCCACTCATAAACACGAGGGTGAAGAAATGACTGTGATCTTGCAGAATGGCAAGAAAAAGAACACAAACAGGAACAATGGTAGGGAAGGGCCATAAACACTTTTTCCTCATCTTATAGGAAACACCTCTGTGCTTCCTAGGCAAGTTTCAAATCATGATCCAAACATTTTTCGTGGGTAAAACCACAACAGAAGAGTAAAACCTGGATAATTATTTCTCTGATGAAGGATGCTTACTGTTTGGGAGATAACTGTTTTTTATCATCAGTGTGGCAGAACTTAATGGTATTTTTAAATTTTAATTTACATTGAGTTATTATAAACATCATTTTCAACGTATGGATCAGTGGTGGGATTAAAAAAAAATATTACCAGTTCTGTGGGCGTGGCGGGGGAAGGATACTGTAAAATCTCCAGTCAGAGGTGGTATTTACCAGTTCTCCAAACTACTCCAAATTTCCGCTACTGGTTCTCCAGAACTGGTTAGAACCTGCTGAATACCACCTCTGGCATGCATTAATGTATCACATTAAGGCAATTTACTAACAACCATTGGAAAGGTTCTAGGGGCAGTCTTGAAGGCTTTTAGTGGCCTTCCTCAGCATCAGGCTTCAGACTATACACCTTTGTATTGTAAGTGAAGTAAATGTACAACTTATTTCTTTAATACTCACATAATGGGCTACTGATAGTGAAGAAGAATTCTTCTGTGTGATGTAGTCTGTGAATGTATGACTGGTAGATCAAGAAACTGAAAGTGGCATTAATCCTTTATTTGTCCATTTGGACCATGAAGAAACCACACAGGAAGAAAATGGATTCCTTCAAGCTGCGCTAGCAGAGAAGGCTCCTGTTCATTCCTTACACAGCAAAAAGTGACAGGCAAGCAAGTGCTGGTGTGTATATAATCAAACACGTTGCTTGAAGGCAAAAATCACAAAAAATTTTGTCTTATTTAAACCAAGTAATGTGATCAAACTCACTGGGAAAGGTAATTATGCTTAGAATGGTCTGATGTAAAAATAAAAAAATCAAATGAAATAAACCTCCACAATGATACACCCTAAAAGTCAACACCAGTCAAGTAAAATAAGTAAAAGTGATCATATAAGAATGGAAAATGTGGAGAGAGCTAGTCTATAAAATTGCTGAGAATCAGGCATGATTGAATAAACAACATCATCTGCCTATTTTATCTTCTTTAAAATGCTCATACATAAACAGGAATACCTTGGAGGTCCAATATGTCCTTTACCATACTTAGAAAAAAAAGTAAAATTGAAGTTTATGATCAAGAAAGTATAACACTACTTTTTTGAAATCAAATCGTATTGCAAAAATCCCCCTAGCAGCCATGGAAGAACAGCAAAGCAATACACTGTAAATAATTATATGCAATTCTGTGAAAAAGAATTTGCTCCCTTTTTGGATTTCCTGAATGTATAACTTTACCACTGAAAGTTATCAAAGTTGGTCCTGCTGGCAACATAAATGAAAAAATAACACACACACATACAAACACCCCAGGAGATTGTGCAGGTTTTATTTATTTCATAAAGTTATCCTATAGTTATCCTGTAACTTTCAAATTTTGTTTTACTTGTTCATTCACATACAAATTAGTATCCAAACTGATATTACATTAATTGAGAAAGGTATAAATGCATTTGGCAAATCTATATGGAGGCAAATGTTTTCTATGAAATGACAGTATGTTAATTTAAGAGTAACAAATTATTTGTCTTTCTACAAATTTAAAGATTAAATAAATTTTCTGAGGGAAAAGCCCAAGATTGGGATGGACTTCTTGGCTAGGCAAAAGATGAATAGGGTCAATACAACTGCTTCTTCTTTTTTTTTTTACAAAGAAAACATTCTCTCAGATAATTGCTATGGGGAACCTTGTCCCAAGACCATTCACACGAATTAGATAAAAGTAAAAATGCTCTCAAGTTGAGCTTTGACTCTGTATCTGCATCCATAGAGTTTTCTCTGATCGTATAGAAGTAGATTGGCATGCCTTTTGCCAGTTTTTTTTTAAAAAAGTTATGATTCTTTAAAAGATCATAAAATGTCTTTGGAAACAAATATAGGTAGCCCTTGACTACCTGAATTCAGATTCTTGGCAACTTTGCTTGTATCTACAATGGTTGCAGTCATCCCAGGGTCAGATAGATCACCTTTTGCGACTTTCTGACAAGCAAAGTCAATGGGGAAGCCAAATTCACCTAACAACTCTATTACTAACTTAACCACTGCAGTGATTGACTTAACGGCTGTGGAAAGGAAGGTCATAAAATGTGGCAAAATTCATTTAACAAATGTCTCACTTAACAGAAATTTTGGGCTCAATTATGGTCATAAGGCGAGGACTACGGTTGAATGCATATATACACATGAATATGCATATACCCAGCAGATATGTATTTATCCAGCACACAAGTATACTAAATGTATACTAAATATTAAAAACATATCTTTTTTGCTCCAGCATCAATCTCAAAATTGTTTTTAAACTAAGCAGTACAAACTGCATATTGCACATAATTAGTCTAGGCAATCACAAAAGTGCATTTGACACTTGTTAGACCAGTTTTCCAAGAAGTGGTGCAACCAGTACATTTAATAGAACTGATATTTTTTTAAAGGGGGGGGGGGCATTGTTTTAATACCTCTTTTCACAAGATTTTTTAAACACTGTTAATTGCTTTGAATTCTAGAAGGAAGGGAGTAGGGAGGAACAGAGACCAAGCCAGCTTAATTGGAGCATTCTAAGAATCTGTTTCTTTAGGAAAAAATAAAAGCTGGTTAAAAAGGGACACCTTCCTAGGCTTATGTGAACCAGCCACCCTAATGACATAGATTTAAATTATTAACAGCTACTTATCCATTTCAAAAGATCTTAAATGAATTAGTGTGACTACGTGTGTTTTCTTTTCCTCCTCATTGAACAATGCTGAATTGAAATCTACTCTGAGGTGGACTGACTTGGGCAGAAGGGCTGGATATCGAAATAAGATGTTCTAAATGCAGGGCCCACGCCCGGTTTAGCGAAGGGAAAAACAGTCTCGATACATCACGTGACCATGATGACGTGAGCTTGACACCCCTGTTCTAATGTGTAGTAAAACAGGATCAAAATGCAGAACGCAGAAGTCAGGAATTGGTTTTCCGTAAAGTAAAAATAAAACTAGTATGTCAAAAATCAGAAGGTGTCTGGTAGTGAGTCTGGTAAAATGAACTACAGATCATGAAAACTCATGCCTTTTAACAGAATTGGTTGGAAAAGGTGCTACCTATAAAAAAAAAGTGGTTTTCAAGTTGCCATAGGTTAACACAGCTCTTTTCCTACAGTGCCTGTGCTATTACACAATATCACACTGAACACCTGACTGATGAATTACACCTTTCGCTTTGTAGTCCAATGTAATCTTTTGAAA